TGAACATGATTCTGCTGGGGGAGGTTGTCAGTGGCTGGAAATGGGGATTTCATACACAGAACTGGGAGGTTTGTGGGGAAGAGTCACTGATGCCCCTGTCAATGGGAAGGGCTGAGCTGTGACTGCTGGTGGGGGTCCTGCAGCACCCCAGGGTGCCTGGGGTAGGTGGGGTGGAGCTGCCTGGGCTGCAGCTCAAGGATGATCCTGGCATGGGACAGGGTCAGTCCTGCAGCCTGGATCCCAGCCCCTCCTCACGTGTGCCAAGAGCAGCAGCTCACCAGGGCCCTGCTGGTTTGTTTTGGTGTTTCAGAGTCTCCTTCCCTGCCAGCAGAGCCCACCATGCAGGCAGACTCTGTTCTCCACAGTGGCTACTTCCACCCCGTGCTGCGCTCCTGGCAGTGCACAGCCACCACCTTCGATGCCTCCAACCTCATCTACCCCATTTTTGTCACGTGAGTGAGCCCCAGCTCTCGGGTCAGGGATGGACCTGGCTCAGGGTGACTGGCTGGGCCCTGAGCTCTTAAACAGGTTCTGAGTTCCTGTGGACAAGTCTGGGAGAGAGGTTTTCCTCTCACACCGAGTGCTCATGTCTCTGTCCCATCCACCTCCCACAGTGACAGCCCTGATGCCGTGGAGCCAATTCCCAGCCTTCCTGGACAAGCCAGGTATGAATCCAGACCCCAGTTGCTGCTGTAGCCTATGTCTGGGGAGGGTTCAGTTATGCCCTGAGCACGAGCCAGGGGGAGGCTTCCAACCCTCTGGTTCCTGCTTTGGAGATGCCCCAGCATCAGGCAAAGTGGGAATGTTCATCCACTAAGGGAGTGGAGGGAATTATGCAGGGAATGCTGGAAAAGTGTCAGTTCTGGGAGGGGCAGCACCAGGGTCTGGCTCTGTCCCAGAGCACTCCCAGGCTGGGCTGGGCACACAGGGAGGCTGGAAGTAAACAGGGTTTCCAGCAGCAGCCAGAAAACCTCTACAAGGATGTGGGATCTGGTCCTGCATTGGATCCTTCTGGACTGGCAGCTCCCCTCTGCATCTGGTGCCACATTAGCAGGGCTTTGGGCAGGAGTGCTATGATGGGAAAGTGGGCTGGATCTGCACCAGGGACACCAAGATAAGGGAACCAAGGGCAGGGTATGCCCATCCCTCAGGGCAGTGTCCATGCCGGGCAGATAGCACTCCTGGAGCCCCAGATAAGGGCTCAGATTGTTCCTCCCAGTGTTCAGGCAACACCTCCCCTGGACTGGCAGCCACTGCCTGGTGGTGCTGGATTGTCCAGGGCAGCATCCAGTGCCAGGGCAGCTCTCCCCACAGAGCACGTCTGGGTGCCTGGCAGCTGATTCCCTTTGCCCTGCTCAGGTATGGAGTGAACAAGCTGGAGGGGATGCTGCGGCCCCTCGTCGAAGACGGCCTCAAGTGTGTGCTCATCTTTGGGGTGCCCAGCAAGGTCCACAAGGTCAGTGCACATGTGTGGAGGTGCTGGGATAGCCACAGGGCTGTCAGGGCAATGTGGGGCTGGGTGGGGGGTGGTCACACAGGAGCAGTTCAGGGTCTCTGGCTGTGATTATAGCCCAGTCCGCACAGCAGGTGGGGATGGGATATTGCAGTGACACCCAGAAAGTCCCCTGAGCTCTGCAGGTGGCCCCAAAACCTGCCCTAGCTGCCCATCTCCCTTTTCCCTCAGTTCAGGAAATGCTTCCCGGGCAGAGCTGCTGCCCCAGAGGAGCCAGTGCAAAGTGTCAGCTGTGCATGCTGAGGTGTTTCTGCCCTCACAGGATGAGAGAGGCTCTGCTGCTGATGCCGAGGGCACTCCTGCCATCCAGGCCATCAGGAAGATCTGTTCCACCTTCCCCGAGCTGCTGATTGCCTGTGATGTCTGCCTGTGCCCTTACACCTCGCACGGGCACTGTGGTGAGCACAGACTGCAGGCCTGAGCTGCACTCTGCGCCTTCTCCTGCCTCTGGGATCCTCTGGGATTTGCCATTTCCTGCTCAGGGTCTGGCCAGCTCCTACTCCAAGACTTGGCTTCCCTGTACTGGTGTAGTTGAGCTGGGTGACCTGTCCTGTGTTTTGACCACAGGGTGGGAGGCACGGGTGGTTCAGACCCTCCCTCAGGCCCGCTGAATCTGATCACCCCTCCATGTCCCCCATCTCTGCCTTCCCTTCCCTAGAGCACCCACATGCTGTGTCCAGTCCCCAGAGGGCTCCTGGTCCTTATCCACCTCCCTTAGCACATCAAGTTCCTCACTGCTGCTCTGAGCATCTCCACAGCTTGTCCCCAGAGCCACACTCCCCTGGGGACTGAAGCAGCAGCTGTCCCTCCCCTGTGTAACCCCAGCTTTGTCTCCCAGGCATCCTGCGTGAAGATGGCACCATCCAGAATGAGCTCAGCTGCCAGCGGCTGGCAGAGGTGGCGCTGGCTTATGCCAAAGCAGGTGGGGAGCCCTGGGCAGTGCCAGCCCAGTTTGGCTCTCACAGAGCTGCCCCTCTCTGGTGACAAAGCACACTGGGAGTGCTCCCCTGCCTGTTCCAGGCAGCACCTAAAGTCTCCAATGCTTCCCAACATCCCTGTCCTGTCTGTCCCTGCAGGCTGCCACATCGTGGCTCCCTCAGACATGATGGACGGGCGCATTGCAGCCATCAAGCAGGCGCTGATCTCCAACGACCTGGGCAACAAGGTGAGCCAGGGACCTGTGTGTGCCATGGGCATGAGCCACATCCATGGAGGCTGCAGCACAGGACAGGGCAAGTGGCAGGAGGGGCACCCCCCCTTGGTGCCACGGGCATTGCCTTGCCCTGGCACACGCAGCAGGGGAATGTCCTTAGCTGGGCCCAGGCATGGTGAGGCTCCAGACCTGTGGCAGGGGAGGATAAAGCCGTGGGAGGGAATCTCTCCTGTCCCAGCACTGGGATGTGGCCCTGAACTCCCAGCCCTCACAGCCCCGCTCTGCCCTGCAGGTCTCAGTGATGAGCTACAGCGCCAAGTTTGCTTCGTGCTTCTACGGCCCCTTCAGGTGGGTCTGTCCTCAGCCAGGTGTGCCCAGCTGGGGCCAGGCTGGCTGGGAGTGCATTCCCAGGGAGTTACTTGGGAAAGGGGCTTGCCCAGAGCCTGGACTGCACGTGGGGCCCCACTGGTCACTTTGGAGCATCCTACTCCTACTTCTCCACGCAAAAAGGAGACAAATGTACCTTGCCCAGGAAAGGCTGGCTGGCGGGAAGGTCACTGAAGGGTGATCTTCCATCCCAACCTTTCACCTGCTCAGTGCTGCTGGCAAGGCAGACAGTGAGGGAGCTGCCTGCAGCTTACAGGAGCAGTCAGGAGTCACAGGAGTCAGTGCTGCCCTGCAGGATGACTTCAGGGACAAGCCTCAGCTTAGTCAGCTGTTAGACCTTGTCCCAGGAACAGCCTGGCAGGGTATCCCCAAGGAACCTGCTTTGGAAAAGAGCTTGACATGATTTTTCCCAGACTCTGGGCATGGGGAGAGCAGTGGATGTTGAAACAGCTCCCAGGGCCAGCCTGGGCCTGTAGGACCTCCCAGAGCAATCCCTGGGTGCTGGACTGCATCAGGAGTGTCCCTTTTTCTGGCTCAATGACTCCAATGTTTGTCCTGGCCTCTCCTCGTGTTTCCTGAAGCTGTGGGTGAGGCAGAGGTTCCTTAACCCCCTGCCCTCTGCCCCTCTGCAGGGATGCAGCGCTGTCCAAACCTGCCTTTGGGGACCGGCGCTGTTACCAGCTGCCCCCGGGCGCACGGGGCCTGGCCGTGCGCGCTGTGGTGAGTGTGGGCTGTGGGGTGGGACACCCTC